CTATGAAACATTTCCTATTAATGTCACATCACTTAAAAGGTTATCGACATAACTAAGTAGGTAGATATGATAAGAATTAATTGCATTGAACAAGACAAAATAACTACAGTGAAAACTATTTCATGTTAGTATCTTACGTCTCACTAAGTCTTAGGAATACTGTTAGATCACACCTCGTTTGTGACTATAAGATATTATTGTTCATTAAAAATATTTTTAATCAATCTACGATTATAATGAAGAGAAGTGTTTAAAGATTTCCATTGATTTTTTTAGTGAAAATAGACAGCTGTCGTTCACATTCTGTCTGTTAGTAGTTTATTAAGTCATCAAAATCCTTTCGAATTAGCTGACTATCGACATAGTCCAGTAAGTTAAAGTGCAAACTAATTAGAATTGCGAAAAAAGCACTTGAGTTTTTGTAATAAATTCAAAAATGAATAAGGCTTATTTTATATTACACAAAGCAGACTTTAAAAATGTTTAAAATGATACCGAAAGATGGTTTCTTCTATTACTTTGCTTTATTGTGTTAAACGTATCAAGTTCCTATTACTTATGTGAGTTGTACATAACACACAAATCCATCCTATCCTTAAAGTTAAGCCCTTAATCATAACAGTAAGCTTTTAATGTTAACACATACTTAACTCCTAATGATAACTACATATGTCTAAACCAAACTCTAACTCCAATTCCCTAACGATCAACAATATGGGGTTTCCTAAAAATCTGTTTATTCTTACAAAGGTTAGAGAAGATGGATAGTCTACACCCACTTGGACGATTTATGTTGTTCTTTTTCGGGTTACAGACAGTAACTTGTAGAGGACCTTAACAAATTTATTAGTTATGTAAAATGTCTTTACTCTTTGTAGTATAGCTTTATTTTCATCAAACTCTTTATTTACACAATCTGTTTTCTGATTGGCTAACAGATGGCTAAAATTTGTCACTGTTGTTTCAACCTTGTCCTTGAACAGCACTCTTATTGTACAATGTATATCTTTTCATTCGATCGGTGCAATTATATTTTTGTTCGAAAATACCATCTTCATGTTTGTCCACAAAGTTAAAACAGTTTTGTTTTATTGAAATAACCCATGAACAATAGAGTTCGAGATTTTTAAAAGATAATTGGTAGGATCAATAGTCAATAAGACTAAACAAAGGAATATCACAACTTTACATGTATTGTGTTTACCTCAAACAGTAGATCTTTAAAACTTAGACCACAGGATAAAGCAACACTCACAGTCTGCTGAAATAAGTTTATTACTGTAGAAACTCTTAAAAGTGAAGATAAAGCAGCAGTAAATTTGTAAATGATTGAGAACAATCACAGTATATTGTAACATTAAAACCACTGATAAACCGTAAATATATCTATAATCTTGGATAGTAGATCACGCTTACTAATGTCGATTTGTAAAGATATTTCATTTCATGAGATAATTATAATTTCAATGGTCGTAAACAGACTGATAGATAAGTGTAAACATGTAACTAAAGTGTACAGAATAATTAGTATTAGGAAAGTTGTGGAAGGTTTCAATAAATTCAAGTATTCATCCTTAATCACTCTCCATATTTAACTATAAAAACCGTTTTTAAATTAGCCGTATGATGTATTCTTAAATGCTTCAAAATAAAGGATTAATGTTCGTCATCAGATCTTTGGGTTTATTTGCATTCCGAACCACTTCATCAAATGTTTAACCAATCTAGAATGGATATCACAATTATTTATTCCTGTATGTTAATAATAATAATAATTCTAATTTAGATTTACAGTTGGTTGAGCTGCAATTGTTTATATGGTGCTTATGTTATTGACAAATTATTTTATTTATTTTAACGCATAAACATTGGTACAAGGAGGCACCAAATATATATGCGCCACACAAATCTCATTCGATATGTGTAAGGGCTGTGATACTGTCCGGGTGCCCAGACCGAAACAGGTGGTTTTCTTAGAGGGCCACACCCCGAGTCTTCGACCTGAAGGTCTGATCCACAAGGCAGTGAAGCATCATAAGGAGATGCAGTCCCATGGAAGCCAGTGACCAAAAATTGGTTCATACGCCATTTGTTCCCGCAGGATACTGGAGCCCATGTGCACCATCAGTTTGGAATCCGGTTAAAGCACCGGACATTCTCTTCTCGTCCTCTCATTTTCGTAAACAACGCCCCCACCACGATAAGGCAATGAGTAAGACTTCCCTGGCAGAGGCTATATACGCGTGGCCATGTGAGAGCATTTCGAGAGGGAGATCGGACTCTCCCCACTCTCGGCCGTACCAGGGCATTTGGGGGCATTGACAAATTATGGATTTTCACATTTCAATGAAAATTATTTTGAGTGGATCATAGGTTATATTCATTTTCGATTTAAGTTTTCGTTTCAAAATAAAATTATCCGATTCAGCTTTAAATGGTACACATATGCAGATATGGTCTTTTGTTGTTAATACTGTAACGCTTCTCAGAGTTTTACACTTTACGGTAAAACTATACTTTGGAGAAGAACTAATCTGATTCGAGATAGTGGGTTTTCAGTTTTTTGAGTGAAATTTGACATGTAGTAACTCATAGCTTGTATTTAATGAAGAACTTAGTACAAAATGTCTAAAATTAATGAAATCTCTGTTGCTCTACAATGCAGTGAATATTACACGGTATGAAAACAAAGTTATGAAAAAGCTTCATCCTTCTGATATAGACCGCATCTGTGAATTAATATACCTTAATTCGTATGCAAATATCAGTATAAAATTATCCCATTTTTCTTAAACTTTTAACTACATTATTTAATTGATGACCTAATGAAAAGTAGGTGTTATTGTGTCACAAATTGCCTGAAACTCGGGAATTTTATTTACATGTTCCTCAGACTGTCTAATAAGATAATTTTTTAGAACTTCCAGGAAGTCTGCACACAAATATCATGAATTCTATGGGGAAGCGCGTAATAAGAGAATTAATAACATGTGAAGGGACTTTGATGAATGCCAATCTCCTTATATCAGTTTTTGTTATTAACTTAACCTACCTTTTGATAAAAAAAATTGATTATTAATTCTCGATAAACTAATAAACCGAGTAAATCCCCTACATACACTTCACTGATGTTTAGAGACGCAATTTTGATTTTCACCGCTTGTTTTACCTTTATCTTAAAAGAGGTATAGCTATTCAAAAGTCACTCTTGGCCCGACTAGAGGTCGTCACCTAAATACAGTTTTACCGATTTTCGATTGGTCTGTGGACTTTGGTGTGTATCCATTCTGTCTCATATTTTCTTTGGCATTTTTATTTCATCTTTTACAATGCCTTCTATGCAAACACGGGTAATCTTATGAAACAGAACTTTTCAAAACATCTATATTAGATTCGACAAAAACGATGAAAGCAGGGATACTACACTGTATATATAAACCTTCAATAGATAGAGGGTTTTTCCGATTCATCTACTTAACTATTAATGATGTCTATATATTATATGATCATACTGATTGAAGTATCCTGCATTAATATATCCTATAGTTCTGATTAGTCGTTATACGTCCTAGCTGTTTTAAATTTTAGTGGTATTCTTGACCGTTTTGCTGTAATTGTCATGGTTTCTATTCTTTTCCATTACGTTTATATATGTGTATATTACTTTTTGTTGATATCATTAATACATGTGTTAAATAAGTGTTAAATCACCTTAGTTTAAGCTCATACTTTACTCGTTAGAGTATCTTTTAGATCACATATACACGTGCACTGATACTAGCTTAAGGGTCGATAGAATTTTTTTGCAGTCAGAGTATTCTCCTGGTCACATTTATGTTCAAATGTGGTTACACCCATGTAGTTGATAACGATGAAAGCTAACTCTAGAAGATGGTTTTACCGTATGACAAATTGGCTGAATTCGTGGAATGTTGATGATACGTAAAAGTAGAAATGTACTGGTTTATGTTTTCATTTTTCCCTGTTTTACATACCATTTAATGGGGATGAACAACATTTTAAATCATGAGTTTTAATAATTCTTTATGATCTTTCTAGGCTTTTTCTTATAAAAGTCTTTTGTTGTCTATGAACTGGTGTATAAAGATGTTGGCAAATTCTCTTGAATCCTCATTGATGAGCCTTTCAGCCATACTTTTCTACTTATAGGACACCAGGTTTTACTGTTTATATACCATTATCGTTATTGATAGACCTATTCTCACTCAAAATGAATATCATGAAACATTCACCTTTCCGATTATTGACAAAAAAAACCACCGACAGCAATGTTTTCTCAATAATGAATGTTATAAACAATTCATTCGATTAGATTGAAGATCAAGCTTAATATTAAGTCTTCTGTTTCAATACGATCTTATCGTGCTTTGGCTCAGAATGATTTTGTTCTATTTCCTACACAGTACATCACAGCTCTAGTAACAAGATCACTTACATTTTCTGCTGACCAAATGAATGCTAATCACAACAGCTGGTATCCTACGTTGTATATACCCTATAGGTGTATTTAGAAAAATAAGAACAAACTATACCACAGAAGTTGCAAATCACATCTTTACGATAATAGATTATACAAGCGAAGAAAGTAAACATTACAATTATTGAAGATGAATTATTACAATCCTGCTTTGTAACTTTTTATTTACGTTTATTTTTACTATGAAAAATTTTCTATACATAGAACAGAGTATGTACGCCGAAAAGAAAAAAAAAACGCCCATCCATTCTTAGTGTTGTTATTAATAAGAAAGACTAAAGGATAAGTAATGTATAGTATAGGTGTTGACTGATTGTTGTTTACATTAGAATTTGAAGGATTTCTATCATTGAATACTTTAATATACATTCAATAATTAAATATAATTATATCCCCTGAAGCAAATGCTAGTCAATTGTTTATAAGGCAGTACATACAAATATAGTTCATAAACTGTAAATCATAATTCTGTATTAATTTATTTAATAAAAAGTGAAAATGTTTAATGTAAAATCTCTGGAGGTGAATTAATATTAGCCTGTTTTAAATTAGGTTTAACAAAAGTAACTGTCAATAAAGGTGATACAATTTGATCGGATAAACAAGAATTTTTAGATTCAATAGTATTTAAAGGTATTTGATGTTGAATATCTTTTGATAAATCACTAAGAAGACGAATTGTTAATTTTCCAAATCTCCATGGTTTTCTAAGTAAAGCTAAACGTACAGTGTTTGGTAAACAACGTTCAAGTTGACCAACAGATACAATTAAACAGAATAAATGATTTTCTAAATTTTGTTTTATATTAGTTCGAGTAAAGTCAAATGAATTTAATGCAGATGGTGAATCATTATTTTCAGTTATTATAAAATTTTTTCTATCCGCAGTTTCCAATAATTGTTTTACTACAGTATCAATTACTTCACCAACTGTTGTACGCATATTGATTAAGAGGCGTACTGATACCCCAGGTGTAAGACCTGTTGGATAATCTGCATAAACATGTATTACTGAAGTTTTTCCAATATGTTTTGGTTCAGTAGGTGAACAAGGTAATGTACTTCTATCTATTTGTTCAGTAATAGCAGTTGTATCAAATAATTCACTATGTACAGATGATGATCTAGGTTTCACTGTTTTTTCAGTATTTAACATAATGGATCCATCATTAAAATTTATTGTTTCATTATTATTTAAATTTTCAAGATTTGATTTAATTAAATATGGTTTTAATATATCAATATATTCATTTATAATTTGTTCTATAGTAATATGAAAATTATACATTTTTTTACGATCACGTCCAATTGATATTGTTTCACTTAACCATCTTTTAGATTGATATATATTTTCTAAATTTGTTTGAATTGTTTGTAATGATTGAGTACGTTCAGTTAATTGTAATAAATCTGATTCTTTTAAACATTGTCTTTGAGCAAATTGTGATAATGGTATAATTAATTCTAAAAATGAAATTAATTGTTGTATTGGTTTATGAAATAATGGATCATAATTAATACCTAAATGTCTTTCAAAATATGTCATTGATATCCATGAACAATTATTTGGTGGTAATTTAGTTGATGTAGGTGGTAAACATACTTGATCTATTGGTGGTAATAATATAATAAATGAATGTACTGGTGATATTTTAATTATTTCTGGTAAAAATATACGAAATTTTTTTATATCATTAATATTATAACATAATCGATTTGCTAATTTAATTATTGATTTTATAAATTGTATAATAAAACGTTTTATTGTATATTTTAAATCAATAAATTGATTATCAATTTTTTCATTCGTTTTATTAATTAATTTACATAAACTATACCATTCATCCATACTAACATGAGATCGATTACGAATTTTTTCATATGGTAACATATGTATAATAGATGATGTATTCGATATTAATATTAATGCTTGTTGATCCATATTTGCTTTCATTTGTAATAATACAATATATAAACCAGGATCTAATATAGATTTATTATATTCAGAATAATTTAATAATATATCTAAATTTATAATTAATTGTGATTCAGGTAATATATATATATGATTATCACGTATAGTTAATAAATGTGAATATAATGTTGATAATAATAAATTTTTTGTTATATTTGTCATTAGATTATAATTTAAATAATCATTATTTGATTGTATTTCAAATAATTTATTTAATTTAATTTTATTTTGTTTTAAAAATTTATCAATATTACACCATTTTAAATTATTATTATTTAATAAAATATCATTCATATGATTAATTCGTTTAAGTAATATAAATAAAAAACATGATGTTGTTTTAAAATTATTATTATTATTATCATAATTAATATTATTGATTGTTGTCATGGAATCATTTGTTGCTATGGATACTTTTGATGAATTTATTTGTTCTTGTATTAAATCAGAATGATCTAATTTAATTGATTTTAATTGTATTAAATTTGAATCAATTGATCTTAAACGTATTATTTCTGGATAGATAATACCAAGATTTGATGTATTTAATAATAATTTTAATTGTTGTAATATTTCTAATAATTTTATACGTAATTGTAAATTAGTTGGAAATGATGTATTTGGTATATGATCATATAAAAATTGTAAATCTATATTAAAAAATGTATCAGATATAATACGTTGTAACCAATTAAAATCAGATATTAACATTGATTCATTAGTATAATCTTCACGTGTAATATTTATTATTGGTATAGAATCATCAGCTAATAAAATTTTAGATTTATATTTATATTTATTAAATTCATTATTATTAGTAGTATATAATGGTGTATGATATATGATAGCTAAATAAATACCAGATTTAGTTTGTTTAATAAATTTTAATCTTTTATTTATAAATGGAAATCTAAATGAACGTTTTCTTTGTAATAATGGTGATCGTGTTCTTTTATTGATTTCATCGAAATTATTTATTGATATATTTGATATAGTATTATAAGTAATATTAGAATTTATAGATAAATTATGTGTCCATAAATAAAGTTGTTTAAATAAATCATTTTTATATGTATCAATTTCTTTATTTAAAGCATAACCAACATATTTTGTATATGGTAAAATTGATATATCACGTTGTATTATCATTTGATATTGTTCACATATTTTATTATTAATCCATGATGATAATATTAATCCATTAGGATATGCTAAACATGGTTCAGACCATCCTTGTATAGAAAATGCATATACACGTATAAATATCATTTTATTTTCAGGTAAATTATTTAAACAATAAAAACCTACACGTATCATATTATATTGATTTTGTTTTATATTATTTATATCTGGTTTAATAATACGAATTGGTGGTTGTACTAAACAATGATATACTTCATTATTAGAAAATTTTGGACATGTTGACCATTCTATACAATAACGTAAAATAAAATTATTTAATTGAATATTATGTACATTATTAATTTTTCGTCCTTCATTTAATGAATCATGAATGAATTCTATATCGGTTGATTCACAGGAACTATGATCTAATTCATTGTCATGATCAATATTACTATTATTATTATCAGTAGTAGTAGTAATATTAGTATCATTGAAATTATTTACATCATCATTATTATCATTCAATGTATTATATTTTGGTGGACTTATACGAATTAATATAGAATTAGATGAATCTAAAAATATATTCACTTTATTTGGTGGTTTAGTATATTTCGGTAATTTATTATAATTATATATTAATTTACTTAAATATTCATATTCATCTATAATTAATTGTAATTGTTTTTCTTTCATTGAAATTTCAGCATATATCATTGTATTATTAATTTGTTCATTAGTTTGTTGATTATTGGTTTGTATTACATTATTATTATTATTACTATTATTAGTATTATTAGTATTATTATTATTATATTTAGTATTATCATTGATTGTTAATTGATTCATATGTGTAATTGTATTTTTTGTATCTAATTTACATTTAGTTAATTGAATTTCTTTTTCATCTAATAAATTTTCTAAATATTTACCAATTTTATTAATTTTTTGTAAATGATAATTTTTTGGTTGACAATATAATATTGATTGTATTATAGGTCCTGATAAAAATTCACATATTAATAAATATGATAATAATATAAATGATGAATTAATTTGTGCATAATCTAATAATGTTAAACCATATTCATTAGTTGCTATATGAATTTGTTTTAATTGTATATGATTTAATTTTTTTAATTGTTTATATAATTTAAAAAATTGATTATAATCATTATGTTTTATCATGATAAATAATTGTTCAATTAAATTTTTTATTAAATCATTATCATTTTTTATTAAATTATAATTATTAAATGGATAATTATTTATAGGAAGTAATAAATCACCAGCAGTTGAATTAGTTGTTATAATTGTATGATCATTATGTGATTTAATAGTTAATAATTGATCATTAGAATATGTAATACTTGAATTATTTCTACGTAATTTTTTTACAACGGAATAACGATTTGTTTTGATATTATTTATATTTTGTATTTGAGTAGTATAATTACGATTGAATAAAATTTTGGCAATAGAATTATTATTTGAAATAGCGATATTATTATTATTATTATTATTAGGATTAGGATTATCATCAGTATTATTATTATTATCATCATTTAATTTATGAATAATATCAGTGATTTCATGTTGTGGATTAGAATAATCTTGTGCATTTATAATTTGAAATTTATAAGTATTTGATTTATTTACAAGTTCTTCAAAATATTCATTTATATTTATTATTTCATAATTATGATTTGTATTTATAATATTTTGTGGTGATATATCTGTACGTAAACGTGGTGTTTTATCAATCCAATTTTTAACTAAACTAGAATATATTTTATTATCAGATAATTGTTGTATAAATTGATTATCTTTAAAATTTATATCACTATTACGATGTGTACTAGATGAACGTCCTCTTATATTATTATCATTATCATTTGAATTGAATTCTTGAAAATATCTTGACATATATGCACTACTTTTTGAACGTTTTAATTTACCTTTAGCTACTTTTGCAACTGCTCTTGCACGCATTTTAGCAACTTTTGATTTACTTGATATTTTATTAGTTGATTCTATAATTTGTTCTTTATTAGAATTATTAGAAATAAAAATATGTGATTCTTTTAATTCAGATGGATAACGTAATGATTTAGTACTTTCAAATTTTTTATATTTAGATGAATGATTTGTCTTTTTATCTTTAGTAATATGATGTATATCATGAAATGTTTTTTTTGAAAATGTAACTGATGAAGAAACATCACTTTTTAAACTTGTATTATCTGATAAAACTTGTATATTACTTAAACTATAACCATGAGATAAACGACGTGAAATAATTTCATTAATAGAATTATTCAAATAATTTTTACCATGACGATATAAATTTGTTTCAAGATCTAAAAATTGATATTTATCTAAGTTACCAACTGATAAATGTTGTTTATATGGTATTTTTATATTTTCTATAGAATATTTATCATTTAATGTTAATGAAGGAAAATTTACAAGATTAGTATTGTATTCATTATCATTATCATCACCACATTCATCATCATCATCTTCATCTGCATCATTAGTATCATTATTTTCAAATAATTTTTCATGTGTATAACTTTTTAATGTTGATGATGGTAATTCATTTTGATAATTAATACTTTTATCCATTAATATTTCACCTTGATAATGATTAATATCTCTTTTAGGAATATTAGTAAAAGTTATTCCATCATTATTACTATTATTAATATTATTATCATCATTATTATTGTGATTATCACTTTCTTTGTCTATAATTAAATGTTTGTCATTTTCAATAATTTGATTATCCGAAGTTAATTTAAAGAAATTTGAATCATTTGTAAAAGCTGGCATTGTATCGGAACGATGAAATCGTTTACGTTTATCCGTAAGAAAATTTAATGCAGTTGTTAACATGTTAATGAATATTATAATTTTTTAATAATTATATAATTGTTTAAATGTTTTCTTCCTTTTGATAAACAATTTTCATGTTAAATATTCTAGTGATACTTTTATCTGACAAAAAAAAACGAGTAAGCAACATTCATAATAAGTTGACATAGGAAATAAATTTACAAAAGAAAAACAATATGAATTCTTGTAATTAAGATAAATTATGTGCCATTCAAAGTAAAAATGAAGGTACTACTTTGGTGCAAAAAAACTATTATATTAATTAGATGACCATTTAATCAATTAAACATGTACAACTTAAGATTAAGTGAAAAGATACTTTGGTTTAAGTTGTTACATTTCATAATGCATAATGGCTCCCAAATGCCCTGGTGCGGTCGAGAGTGGGGAGAGTCCGCTCTCCCTCTCGAAACAATCTCACACGGCCACGCATATGTAGCCTCTGCCAGGGAAGTCCTACTCAATGCCTTCTCGTAGCGGGGGCGTTGTTTACGAAAATGAGAGGACGAAAAGATGTCCGGCGCTTTAACCGGATTCCAAACTGATGGTGCACATGGGCTCCAGTATCCTGAGGGAACAAATGGCATATGAACCAATTTTTGGTCACTGGCTACTATGGGACTGCATCTCCTTACGATGCTTCACTGCCTTGTGGATCAGACCTTCAGGTCGAAGGCTTGGGGAGTGGCCCCCTAAGAAAACTATCTGGTTCGGTTTGGGCACCCGGGCAGTAGCATAGCCCTTACACATATCGAATGAGATTTGTGTGGCGCATATGTATTTGGTGCCTCCTTGTACCAATGTTTATGTGTTAAAATAAATAAATAAATAAAATGAAAGAAGAAAATCAATAAAATGAAATATCAACAAATTGTGATAATATTATCTGTCTATGAATACAGTATACAATGAACAGCTCAGAATCAATGAGACGATTTGGACTTCGCAGATGATCTAGCCTTCCTATCGCATACACACGAACAAATGCAGATAAACACAGCCAGTGTAGCAGCACTCTCTGCATCAGTAGGCCTCAACATACACAAGGGGGAAACCAAGGTCCTCAAATACAACACGGAGAACATCAATCCAATCATATTTGATGGCAAAACTCTGGAAAATGAAAAATCCTTCACATAGCTGGGAAGAATCATTGGCGAACAAAGAGGATCAGATGCAGACGTAAAGGTGAGGATTGGCAAAGCAAGGACCGCATTTCTACAATTGAAGAACATATGGAACTCAAAACAACTTTCAACCAATATAAAAGTCAGAATCTTCAGTAAGAACATCACGACAGTTCTACTGTACGGAGCTGAAACGTAGAGAACTACTACAACCATTATCAAGAAAGTTTAAGAATTTTAAAGATAGTTGTCTACACAAGATACTCAACATCCATTGGCCGGATACCATCAGCAACAGCCTTTTATGAGAGAGAACAAACCAGCTTCTAGCTGAAGAGGAAATTAGGAAAAGACGTTGAAAGTTGATAGAACATACTTTGAGGAAATCGTCAAACTACATCGCGAGGCGATCCTTAACTTGGAATCCTGAAAGGAAGCGGAAAAGAGGAAGACCAAAGAACACATTACGTCGGGAAATAGAAGCAGACATGAAAAAGATGGATAAAGACCGGAAGGAGCTGGGAAGGATTGCCCAGGACAGGGTTGGATGGCGAATGCTGACGAAATACACTATTTTAATGATTTGATTTGTTGATTAATACAGTTCATTTCATCACTGAAATCTTGTTGTTAGCTAAGAAAATTGATTAAGTTTCGAGAATTTACTATTTATAATTAATGATGAAATTTTATGACTAAAGCCGTTGATCATTGTAGACTATTGTTTAAACTTTATCATTAAGCCAGTAACTAAATTTATGATGATAATAAATTTTTTAAAATTAACTTGAATATTTCGTCTAAAGTAAGGTAAATTACCATTTATGTTTTTTTTTGTTTTAGTGTTTGAAATAAAAGGAAATGCCTATTTATTTAATGATTAAGATGTAGTTCATTTGCAAAGTTGATCAATAACTTTAGACAAATAAAGCTTGTACAGTAGTGTAAAAGAGTTTTACAACTATAATTTTATGGTTTATACATAGGAATGTTAATTAATATAGTAGATGTAATTAAAGTAGGATGAAGGAGAAATGTTTTGTCCTATTTAGGACTCATCAGCTATATGTACATTCATTGAGGTGTTGATATTAACATCAGAATTGGAACCTAGTACCTTTCACTTTGAATGACATAACGTTATGCATTAAAACACTGAACCCAGATAGCCACAAGCCACAAGAGTATTAATTTTATTTGTATTTGTTTATGTCTTTCTGTTGTTAATGTTATAGGCTGCAAGTGATTAACCAGACGGCCATATCAAAGGAAACTGCACAGAATGCACATATATCAAAGAAACTGACCAGTCTTCTATCATAATACTGACAGTGAGAGGATTCAAACATTTATCAGTTATAGTTATTGGTTTGAAATCTTATTTTATTTTACAAATTTGTAGGAATGCAAGGCTGTTTTGTTTAATTTTCAATTAATCAAAATCAGATATTAATGTTTCAACCAAATCGAGATAGACTAGGTGAGATTTAGAAATATGATTTCAATGTTCAAAGCGATTAGCTTGAAACATAAGGTTTACACTAAATTTAATCAATAACTGAATGTACAAATATTTGTGTAGTGTTACTTTGTTATATAACAATTAAGAAAGCTCATAAATGTCGAAAATCTACTAGTAATTAATTAAAGTTCTCGTACACCCTTAAAACTAGTTATATTTCGTTAATTTCATTGACTATATCAAATTCACTATTAATTTTACAATTTTTAGAGAAAAAGGAATCAAAAGAATTCTTAAATCACTTATAATACTTTACTTCTTAAACTTGAACTGTTTCAGAAGATAAAGTTTTCTTTATAATTTCATTTTCTGGTTTTATTTATACTCGACATATAGGGAGATTGCAGACGTTCAAATATCGTCAAAAAGTTAATTTATTGTGAATGCGCACTGCTGATGAGTCTCACACAAGAACGAAACAACTGTCCAGTGCTTCCAGTTTTTTTCATGATAGTCTAGCTTCAATTGACTAATGAATTCAACTATTAAATTGCTGTAATATTCACAAAAATTTATTTCTGGTAAAACATTCAATATATTGGAATTGTCAACAATTCAATGAATACTTAATATCATTACATAGACCTTGAATGAAATAGTGTAGAAACAGGTCTATTGAACTCTTGTATATATATATATATATATATATATATATATATATATATATATATATATATAGTTCTTACTAAAAACTATAAATACGTGACAATTTTGTACTATAATTGACACTGTGTGGGAATAATATTGCTTTCATTAGTCTTCTGTCTTCTCATTACGACTTGAACAGGATCTGGCGTTCTAGTGCTCACGTTATACGTAGTATATCAAGAACAACCTTATATATATATATATATATATATATATATATATATATATATATTCGGTAGCTAGGCGAAACGAACGGTGCTTGGTTCGAATCCTAAAGTGAACATCAACTCTAAGATGTATGTATGTATATCCAGCTGATAAATTCCAAATAGAATAAAACACACATCCTAGATTCTATTGTTGACCACTATCCATCTTTGCTTATAAAGTTTATGACTTTAGACAATATCAAGTCAATATGCACAAGATTACACATATGCTAATAAAAGACTGATCAATTGTAATCTTAAATAACAATGAAGAGATAAAAGCAAAAATAATTAAAAAAAATTCTCTTTATTAGACATGTACAGTTTATTATCCATTAAACAAACAAACAAAAAAAGAAACTATGCAATAAAATGTTATTTGTATCTAAGACAATAAAAATAGAAATTTACTAAACATTTAATTGAAATTAATTGAATACAACTTTTTATTTTAATAAAAAATAATTAATCTACTAAATGATTATCATAAATTTTACAAACCTTTTTTTTAATGGACAATTGAAAATTGTATAGAACTACAATGATCAAAATGAGGGTGATTGTAGTAATTTTTAATAGTTGAATTCATGAATTGATTAAAATTAGATCATTATTGAAAACCTGGAAATATTGGATGACTATTTTTGTTGTAGTATGAGACTCCTTAGAAGATATTGAAATTGAGTCTTGCATGCGAGATCATGGATGCTTACTGTTGAAGAGTTTTATGTTAGAAGGAAATGATCATTCAGTATTTCCAGGTTTTTTTATGGTGGTCTAGTTTTTAATGGACTCATGAATTTAACCATTAAATATTATAATTTTCTTTTGAAAGTTTGATATTTTACTTTATACGATTGATATAAACATTTAAAGATAATTATTTTATGTAACTGATATTTTGTATTCACTTGGTACTGATCAATTGCAGTCTTGAACCTCAATGGGAAAATACAAGCCAGACAATACTAAGTGAATTCAAATTCACCCCATTGCACAAGCAAGTGGCTATGAGGACTTAGTAGCTGAGTGGATAAAGCGATGTCGTTTGGAGCGAATGGTACTGGGTTTAAGTTCCAGAGTGAACATCAACTCTGAGATGGAGGTACATTCAGCTGAAGAGTCCCGAATAGGACGAAACGCGCGTCCTGGATTCCACTGCTAGCCACTATCCATCATTGATATTTTGCATATTTTATTTTTCAATATAAACTAAATATTTGTTTATTCGAATTGCTTAAATTGTTACATCAATGTTAAGTAAGTTATTTAGATGTTCGACATGGAAATTTATCTACACTACACAGTTGTTGAATGAAATCACTTAATCAACTTTAAAACAATATATGTTGATATTGTACAAGGAATACCCCCCACAGTCCACATTTTATAGAGATTTTTCCAAAAAAGCATTCCAGGATTTTCTATACGTTTACTGTATATAAGGAAATATGATTATAGTTTGTTAGATAAAAATTGATTATCAGTAAAAAAAAATGAAGCAAATATGACATCGGTTACTATTTAATGATGGATCCATGTGAATATGAACAGTACAATATAATATTGCTTATCAGAATGGAATTATCGCATATAT